ACCAAAATCTTGTCATCATACTGTCCTGCCATTAAAACAATTCCTAAAAATAATAAAAAAAAAATGAGATGAATGTATCTTGTAATAACAGTACACCCATATCTTTCAGCAAATAAAGAACCCTTATCTCCATTCAGTAAGCACTGTACTGAAGAAATGTTCTTACTAACACAAAGTCAATAATTGCTACTTTAATTTAGATAATTATGGAGGAAGGAGTTGAAACTGACAAGCAAACCATCAACAGACCACCAGTACCAATCCCTGGGTATCGATACATTTTATTTTACCTTTATCATCTTTGAATTCTGTGAAGTGTGCCACAGTTAGACACGGAGGAGCATTCTCTTTGAATGACTGATACACTGCTAGAGGGGTGAAGTAGATCACATTGCCATCAAACTGTGACAGGATAAACTCGTAACCATCATTCCTTGGTAAGGGGTAGATAAACTGAACAAAAAAAAACAAGTACCATAAAATCCTCAATTAGAAAACCCCATCTTCTTAGTTTTTTTTCTTTTCGATAAGCTAAAAATGTTATAAAATAAGCTCATTCATGATATAAAAAATAACTAGGAGATAATGAGAGCATCTTACCAGTGGACAAAGTTGAGCTTTCTGTTTTACATCATCAAAATTTCCTCCCTATATTCAAAAATCAATTTCTGTTAGTACATTTTATCTATCCAAATGTTCATTCATTTGAAAATGAATTTCATTTTAAAAGTTTGCTTCACTTATGCTTCAATCCTTTTTGTTTGACAATAAACATTTTAATTCATGTTTATAACTGCAATTTAACTCAACACAGATGTAGATCATACCTCTATCACACCAAATACACAGTCCTTTGTCACATGATGCTCTTTCCAAATCTGTAATGAATTAATTAGAATATCTTAGTACAGAGGATTTGCAGTTAGAAAGTTAAATAACATTGTAAGAAATCTCCTACCTGTTCAATTTCTGTTGCTGATTTGTCCTTAATTAAATCCACCTTCATAATCTCATTTAGACTCTGAAAAAATGAAATATAATTCCAAGGATAGAGAAGCAAACTGATTGTCTTGTCTGCCTAAACATGTCATTTTTATTTTTTTCATATACAGCAACTTTCAGAAAAAGGTATTTATAAGTTTCACTACAGAAATAAATAGAAGACACTGACAAGAAAACAACCTTAGGAGGCCATGAACCACTAAACTTTTGGTCATCTTTATTCAATGATTCTTTGTTGATGTCTGGTGGCGTTGATAAGTCTTTTTTCATCTGTTCTAATTTTTCTCTTTCTTTTTCTTCTAGTTCCTTTAATTTGGCAGCATATCTCTCTGGATCTGACCTACAATTTAAATAGGTGAAATAAATCAAATTTTTTATCAAGGAACCTTCCTAGGCAAAATAAATCAATATATCTATGACAAAATATTTATTACATTTTTTGTAAATGCACAAATTCAAAGATCCTTAGTACTTATGTGAGATGGCAAATACCCGGTATCAAGAGATACAAATTTGAATTATACCTCAGAGTCTATGCATTATCTTGGACTAATAAAAAAGGTGCAATATAGGCATTTCTCTTGTCATACTAAACATTTAAGAAATCTTTACTTTTATAATGAAAAATTAATAAGATGCATAACTACAGAAAGACAATTGCCACAACAATTAACACACATATACATGTACACATATTCAATCTAAGGAGAAATAATTTAATTTCACTTGTATCAAGCAATTTCATTGGCTGAATCATTCAGAGGAACAATTAATATTTTGTATAACATAACTTCCCTACGTCACAATGAGTTACGTCAGAACAAAAACAAAACTTGGGGCAGTTTACGCTTTCTTATAAACCGCTTTACGGTTTATAAAGCGTAAACTGCCCCAAGTTATGTTATATTATATATTTTACATAAGTTGAAATTAGCTTCATTTCTTAATTGAATTAACATTGGTGTATACAACTCTAATAGAATGTATGAAGATATATTTACTGTTTTAGATTCTGTAGTTTTGCTTTGTATTTATCATAATATGGATTTTCCTCCACTTTGGTCCCTGGATTAGAGTTGGAGCTACAGTATTGTTTCTGAATGGCTTGTATCCATCGTAATCCACACATCCGGGAACAGGTAACCATTGGAAACCTGTAACCATTGTTCCACCACATAGCAGGTACTCTGGCAACAGATGGCATAGGAGACCAGCAAGACAGACAGTTTCTTAAGAAATTGTATCGTGGAAGCATTGCTGTATCAACGTTGTAGTTCATCAAGTGGAATATAAATGTATAGAGCCTCGATCTTCAATGTAATGTAGAGTGTTTCCTTGTTAAAAAACCATCAATTGTCAAACCCTGGTCACTATTAAAGTTATAATACCATGAATACACCTGTATATTGATATAAACAAGAATCAGGGAGTACAGGAGCACTGATGACAAAACACCAAACTTACATGTACTTGGTGCGTTTTAGTTTTTTAAACAACTGAATACTTAATCAAGATATATAACACGTTATTCACACCTTTGATAAAAACACAGGGGATTGTTCCCGGCGTGAAATACTATTACTTATTAGAATGTCATATACGAAATACTAAAACAACGCGTGTTGTTTCCGTATTTCGTACTTATGAATTTTAAATAACTAATTATATTACTCGGCTGCAGCATGTACATGTGCTGAAACCTTACCCTTGGTAAATTAAGGCAATACTTTACACAATATCATTTTCCACCCTTGAAATTACTTGGCTAGTTTGTAAGGTAATGGTTCAGAGGAAATTCGACTTATAGTGTAAACACGCCTTCAAGAGAGGAGAGTTCTTTTAAAGTGAAAGTAGACACGACGTTTCTGAAAACATGTTGCTATCAGTTTTAGCCGTGATTATGCCTTAAATTTAGAGTTTTGGACAGCAGATTTGTTAATATATGATCAATGAAGAGATATTCTTTGGTTAAAAGATCCAGTGACAGCTATTAACATGAAAGTTTCGACTGCCTGTAGCTTTTTGATGTTTTACATTAGTTCTTGTGAAGTACAATCAGGTACATTAAAGACTTCCAAATTTATTTAAATCAGATAAAGACAAATATAACATGGGTGTGTAATCTACTAAAATAATATTTATTATGGTAATAATTCAAATGATACCAGCATCAAAATTATCAGTCAGTATATACTAACCATTTTGTGCTTTGGGAGGTAGGATCAAACCACAGGCGCTTGTTTCATACAGTAAGCTTAGATTTCTACTATATTATATAGTAGAAATCTAAGCTTACTGTATGAAACAAGCGCCTGTGGATCAAACCAAAGGAATCTTTCCCTAAAGAAATTGATATGATTGATGTATCATCATTTAGTTTCAGTCGGTCTTATTCTTCAGTCAAGGGGGGGGGGGAACAGGTATACACCCTGTTTTTAAATAAGAAATATGTCTGGTATCACCGTATGTAAGAAATTTTCAAATTATTTTTTTCATTTGAGTATCATTGTTTGTCTTTCTTATGACATATTTTTAACTCAGTCAAAGCAAGGCTAATAAACCATATTTGGTAAATATATAACATATAATAATCATGCTCTTTTCAGAGGAAGGATTTAGTCTTGAACCAACCACACTATCCTCGCTGGACTCCCTGCCTGGAGACACAACGACAGGGGAGGTAAATGGGGCACAGTTTGTTCCCTTACCTTACCCCTCTAGTGAACCTCAAAACAGTGACAACCCATCCTTCATACAGCCTTCATTCTCCCAGTCTCTCAATGGACATAGAAATAATAAATCAATATTGAACAGAAGTATAAATCCTTCTCAGACTCGATATACTACTCAGAACTCTTACAGCACCATGGGGGAAGATTATGATGTGCTGAAACTTCTTGGATCCTCAAAAACAATTCATCAGAAAACCTCATCTATAGAAATTGCTTCTTCTTCACCCATGTCTCTTACATCTCAACCTCAGATCTCCATGTCTCAACAAGATGGCTTGTCTAAAACTTCAGCCCTTGGCACAGAACCTCTGTCATCCCAGTGGGCTCTCTATGACACTATGTTAAAAACTCAAGACTCTGTCAGAATCCAAAGCTCAGCAGCTATGACCATTACAAGCTCAGCGATTAGTCCTGTTAGTGTGCCCAAACCAAGAAGCGGTAAAGTGAGTGTCTCATGTAAACCATGGTCCTGTCCCATGCCCACAGATGTATGTATCCCACTAAAAGGAGGAAAATTTCTCTGCTCCTGTAAGCAAGGTAGGAAATGTACTAGTATTGTTAACATGATTTGTAAATTGATTTCTAGAGCATATATTTGTACATGTTTAAAATGAATATTACCTGATTGTTTGTATATAAAATACCTATATATCTATGGCTAAATAAAGTTTTATCTTACAGTGTATGGAAGATAACGATAATGGTTACAGAAGTTTTCGACAGAAACATGTAAGTCATCTGATCGTAAAAATATGATATATAAATGTGCTGGTTAATATGATTGTTAATGGATTGAAGTTTACATACTCATATTAATGGATTGAAGTGTACATACTCGCAGACGCAAGTGTTTCTTTATATTTTAGATATTTCTTGAATAAGAAGTGTTGTGGACTCAATGTTCTCAGGTGAATTATGATCAGGAACAGCATTTGAAATGCCTATAGGATTAATTGCTCACTCTGAAGTCCATGATTTCAGTATGAATGTATAGAACTGAGTGAAAATTTCTTTTAAAAAATTTGGAGAGATTCTTGGCATTTGTAATCTGAAATGTGGAATAGGAATATAGATATCGAGGAAAAGGTAGCAAGAATATATGGATTCTTAGTTCTACCTTTTCCACTCATTTACTTTGTTATATCATATGCTGTATCAATTGTATTACTGAAGTAGTTAAGTATTTAATTTATGCAACCCACTTGAAAAGTGGGAGGTCATATAGTGATCAGGATGTCTGTCTGTCTGTCTGTCCATCCACCCGTCAGTCAGTTATGCTTTGGGGTACCCATATCTTACCTGCAACTCCTCTTCTACCACTGATAGTTGTTCCTATTTTACTTTTATGATTGAACACCTAATTATGTTGGGTATCCCATACCTAAACATGAATACTGCCTGACTGCCATTCTTTCTAAAATAATATTATTGAAGGGTACCCATCTCTTTTCCGCAGCTCCTCCTATACCACTGAATAAAATTTAATGATACTTTCACAGATTCTTTGTTACACAATGCAATTGTGCACCTTTTATTTTACTTTTTGATCTGATACTTACTTCAAGTCTCCCAGAGCAAAATATGGACTTTGCCATTACAATAATATGGGAGGCTGGGGTATCATTGAGTGAGCTCAGTGCTCACAGTATCTTTAGTTTTGATTTTATAAAGTATATTGTGATACATTTTACAGGAGGAAGAATGAATTGTGCAATCAACTCTATACATGTACATGTAAAGCACTGACACAGTCATACTGGGTCCTGCAATGTGCTCATCTTAGTAAAATGATAATTAAATTTTTTACATCAATTTATTTTTTGTAACATTTTGAAAAGAATTAATTTTACATTTTTGATTTCCAGGGACCAAACTGAAAGCCAAGACACTAAAAATATAAAGCATGTTTTAATCAATCACATTCCTTATATCAAACAAAAACATATATGAACATAGATTGATTATATTATCAGATCTCAAGAACTATTAAATGATCAAAATATTTTAGCCAAATTGAGCTAACATGGCCGTAAGACCCCCCCCCCCCCCCCCCCCCCCGCCCCTAATTTTGCTGATATATTTAGTATTATGTAATACTATAAAAAACTTAGCTACTATATGCTTGTGGCCCCTCAATAAAAACATCTGCTGACCTTTTTTTTTTTTTTTGCTCATCAATGAATTTTTGGTAGTCAATAGTGCCTGCAACTGGAAATGTATGGCTGTTCCCCCAAACTGAAATTGCTTCCTATTGATTTGGCTTAAAAAGAAAATATTAAAACCAAGCTTATTTAGAAAAGAAGACTTAAAATTAAAACTTGATTTAAAGTTTGTATTCAAACACAACTAAGTGAGTATAATTGTAATATATGTAGATGGCCTACATGTATTATTCAATTCATTAAATGAAATTCAAACAAAAGCAGTGTTAAAATTTTATTGAAAATAAAGAAAGGCAGAATCATGGACATCTTGACCTTTATTGGGTTGGCATCTGAGCAGCTGACCGATAGATCTATACAATGATACTAGTACATGTATTTATAACAGATTCATGCAAATATATAAACCCCTAACCCCCCAAAAAGAATCCAGGTTATTGCATCACAGTAATCAGTTTTGATATTTAATCAAAAGATTCTAAAATCAATCAGTCATAGGTGTCTTTTCCAATGTAAATTATAAATCTACATGTACGTTTAGTTACGAAATGTCCAAGTTGCTACATTGTGCATCGATATTATAAAGGATTGTTCATTACTATATAGGGAACATCTGTCTTTTTATACAGCAAACCAGTCCTGTTTTGTTTTAATAAACGTAGGACGGATGTGACCGGTCGACAGGAGATGCTTACTCCTCCTCGGCACCTAATCCCGCCCCGGATGTTTTGAGAGGTGTTTTTCCTTCTCCCTATTTGTATTGTTTCAATGAGCTTTTGAGCTGATACTCAGTAAGCGTTCGTCATCTCTCTGTTTCATTGTTTAAGATGTAATTTGAATCACTTTTATTTTTAAAGTATGATTAAAACAAATGATATAAAAAAGATAAAACAATTTTTGTTATATATATATATATATATATATATATATATATATATATATATATATATATATATATATATATATATATATATATATATATATATATATATCTTATACTTATACTAATAAATTAATAAATTTTGCAAATAAACTCCGAAACGGATGCACAAGAGTTCTTATACTTACCCCTCTAATACTACACTACATACAAGATGATGTCCGTAAAGTATATTTAGATTTCACTCGGATAGTAAGTATCGTACATAAAATTAAGTCTACTTCAATTTTCTGAAAACAGCCATGAAATAGCATCAATGTGAGTATTGTGGCGTTTCCGGGTGGCGGATCTAAGCTACTGGCAAATTTTATTGAAACTGACAACAAACAATCGATTATTTATTTCATAAATTGTCATCACTAAATTATTCAATCAAAACTTGATTTAATGGAATATCAAAGAAATAAGTTGTGGTAACCATTTTATAGGCGAAAAGTGTTAATTATTTTCGTCAATCGCCGATCTCAATATTGACGGAAGCTTCTAGAACATCACGTCCCTTTTGCTACATTGTTTTAATCAAGAAATAATTATAAATATTGTAATTAACGGGTTATTTGATTAAATAGATTTACAACAAATGATGCTATATAAATTAGAATACAATAAAAACAATAGTTTTGTAATAACGATCAAAATATGCTTGGAATTTATCAGAGACATATTGCTAATATTTATTGATACAAGGATTATATAAGTAGACAAATGATATATATTCGTTAATTGTCGGACAGTATGAGCATTTGAATCCATGGTAAACCGACAGCGACCGAGGTATCAAAAGTTGACGACGAGTGAACGACAAGTGAAAATATTTTAAAAGCAGGAAATACTTATATCGAAAGACTAAAATAGATATGTAGTGTTTATATATGTTTTGTTATGAGTTTATCGGTAAACACTGTATTTTCCGTACTGAGAGCATCGTGGTAACGAACCCGACGTACAATTTGTAATCACCTTAATTGTGTTCAATAAGAAAGAAAACTTACGAATAAGGTATTGTTCAAATACAATTAATTACAGCTATAAAGTTTTGTGTTTTAATAAAGACATTTCTCTCTAAAAAAAAAAGTCTTTCTCCAATGCCAACTTCTTCCAGAACAAATTTTTTGGTATTCAACACTACATTTCCCTTATATGAATTTCCTGTAGTATTAAGGGAATGGGGGGGGGGGGGCAGTCTTTCACTGAACATTTCCAATAGTAAAAGTATTGGTGGGGAAAAAGTGGGGGGGGGGGGGGGGAGGCAGCCTTTTTACGTATTGATTAGGGTACATATATAATTATAAACCAAGACTCAAGTACCTGTGAATTTTTACCCCTCCCCCAACTCCCCAAAATCAATATATTTGTTTATTATGTATATTCGTTGCTTTATCCTTCATGAAAATGGAATAAGAACATTTGAAGTGCAATATCCATAACATTGTATGAAGTTTTGAAGACATAAACGTCAATTAAAGCAGTTTTTATTTTTCAAGTTTTCACAAAAAGTGGTT